TTTATTCATTTAATTTAAATGTTTGTTTTTTTTTGATTTTCTTCATTAGTCACTTAAGTATGCTAATTATTGAAATTGTTCTTTTACATAAATAACAATGCGTTCGCTTTGGTCTTTTCTTCAATTTATAACTTTATTTAAACACTAATGTTGCGTATTATAAAAAAATCGTAATTGTTAATGTTTATTGTTTTGGTTATGCCATTTTTTAATTGCTGTTGCCGCATATTTTTGTTTTATTTTTATTTTTTTTTTTGTTGCAATAAATATAATCCACGCACGTGTGTATGTATGTATTTACTGTTTGCTAAACTGCATTTATTGCAAGGCGCTCAAAAAAATTTGAAGTAATCATTTCATTTACATATATATATTAAATATACATATACATATGTATATATATATGTATATATTGCATGTAGCACATATTAAAAACAAGGCGAGGTTCTTAAATGATTTATATTTATATTCAAAAAATTTATTTATATTGTAATATCCTTAAGCAATTTGCGACGCGCTTGTTGTTTTTGTTTATATTTTTCAATATATTTTTTCTTTTGCACTTACTTTGCACGCTACTGTAATATAATGCTAATAAATTTTGGTTTTAATAAAAAAACGTACGCATACAAGCGAATAACATGCATACCAATGTATTATTGCATTTCTTGTAATCTTGTGTGTTCTTGTCGGGGTTTTTTTTTGTTCTTGCTTTGTTAAATGTTTTAACGTTTTGCGTTGCTTATTGCATATACATACCATTGACTTCTTATTAATGCTAGTACTGCTTATGTATATATATTTTCATATTTTTTTCAATATTTTCCACTTCAATTTAATGCTTATATTTTTTGTTTGTTTTTATTAATAAGTAATTCTTTTGGCAGAGTTAAGCAATAAAAGCGAGTAGTAACCGGTTACGCGGTAACGAGTGTTTGTTGTATTGCTCTGTGTGTACTTTGCTTGTATCTGTGTATGTGTGTGTGTTTAAGTGTTTATGTGTTCGTTTTGACAACTCTAAACAGCTTACACTTCAAGACTTTTGCATTTTACTAATGATTACTAAAATGCTTGCAAGTGGTATGTATGGAAATGTGGTCATGTGATTGCGCCTATGGGTTTATGCAGGTGTATATTATTTATTAACATTATCATATGTACATATGTATGTACATATATACCGCTGTTGCTATGTAAGTATGTGTGTTTATAGCAGGAAGTATAGCGCTTGACTTACCGAATACGCATTTCGTAAATTTCTCTCATTATACATACATATATTTTATTTTTGCCTTATACTTTTATTGTATGTTTGTATGTACAATATCACGCCGTTTTATTAATAATGAAAAATTATATAAGATCTGCAGAGGGTTTAGTTAAAAGTTTTATAAATCCTTAATTATTATTTTTCTATAAAAATTAATACCGAATTTTCGGGATCCCGATAAACATAAAAACGTTCAGTAAACGCGTTATCAGTATTTCTATATTAATTTTGTAGAAACAAAAATGTCAGTTAAGTGTTAAGTTAGTTTAGTTAAACGTGTTCTAATTCTTAATTTTTTTTTTCTAAAAAAACTAATCCCGGATTTTCGGGATCCTGAAAATACATAAATAAAAGTTCAGGAAACATGTAAATATCATTTCTGTAGATAAATTTCCTAATACAAAAATTTCGGGATTCCGAAAAAATAAAGTAAAAGTTAAGTTAGTTTAGTTAAAAGTGTTATAACATTTAATTATTTTTTTCTAACTCCGAAAGGACACCGAAAAAATTTCAGTAAAC